TTAAATCAATACCTTTTTTTAATAGTTTTTTGTGAATAATTCTACATATATTTGTAAATTGATTGCTTCGTTTATATAATATATATATATATATATATATATTATATATGTATATGTGTGTAAAATGTAAATATATAACATATAAATAAGAATTCAGATAAAATCGTTTATTAAAATAAAATTACAACAAAAATAATTATTACCTAAAAATCAAAGTGTGTGTCGGTTGACCCAGCGTTCAATCTATTCGACTGTTAATATTTAAAAGAATTTTATATAAACGAATATTTATAGAATAAATTTTTTTTATTTAAGGTTTTTTCTATGAGCCCATATATAAATTTGGATTTAATATAAATATTTTATAAATTTGGATTATGACGAAATTTTAATCTTCGGCAAAAATTTTTGAAGGTTGAAAAATATGATCTCAATTTTCGATCATTTAATTTTGTCGAATATAGTTTATCGTCAAACCCAGGACTATCTCTCCTGATATTTAAAAAATTTTACATTCAACTTTAAATTCTATGAGGAGAGCCATATTTTTATTATCTTTTGAGACCAACGCAAATTACTAAATAAACGACAAATAGAAATCATTTTAAACTATAGACACGAGAACAAATTTTATGATACAGGAAAAAAATCGAAATTTAAAATCGAATTCCTTGTGAAATACCACCATGAAAAGACAATTATATATATATATATATATATATATATGATATATATTAAGGTGTTGAAACAAAATGGCTATTTTTGTAGTGATTTTTAACATACTTATGTTATAATTTTTTTTTTTTTATAAAAATAATATATATATATATATATATATATAAATATTTAAAAAATTATATTAAATTTTTTGGGAGCGAGTTTTTGACGGTAAAACATTAAAAAGTGTCCATGTCCAAAAACAATCTAAACGTCAACATAAAAATAAATGTTCAAAATGTCCACGGTTTTGTTTTTAAAACATATATAAAATGCCCCCGTCGGACAATTTGAATGGCGGAATATTTAAAAAATAATGACAACCAAATGGGAAAAGTAATAATAATCTTAAAATTTTTTTGGAAACTGCTCAGAAATTTGAAAATAATTTCTGACTTTAAACAATCTGTTGGGACCAAAAAAAGAAATGCGTACACAAAAGAAAACAAAAGAAATAAAACAACAATATATAATAATAATAATGATAATAATACAAAAATAAACCCGGTTACGGAGATAGGACCTGTTACAACATTCTATGGGATTACAAAATACACATTTGACAGAACAATCAAAAGCCATGTTGCCCAGATATATTTGCCTCCTTATTGATATGACAGTTATTGCTGAATGCAATATATCTTTGAAGATATTAAAAAAGTTGTCAAATTACAAGGATATAATTGAAATAGATTTTTTAAAAAATGAAGACATGGTAACATCAACATATTTGTTGTGGTTGGAGCACTTGGACTATTTCAAGAAGAAAATTTTTAAAAATTTATAAGAATAATTGAAGGGATTAAGGAAGTTTATTTTATGGAGATGTAAAAATTGTTATGACAAGTACAGTCCACATTTTACGAAGGGCTTTATATGTATTTTTTTTTTTTATCACACAAAAAAATGTCATGATAAAACTAATTTTTAACCTTAGGTATTTGGATGGGATAAAAAAAGAAAATAAAAACAAAAGAAATCAAAGAAAATAAAAAAAATAATAATATTAATAATAATAATAATAATAATAAAGCAAATATAATGTATATAAAATGCAGAAATGATGGAAAAAGATGTCAATTTCATGGTTATATCAAGAAGTGCCAAACAAACTGATATAAAAACTTTATGTACCGACCAGTGGGTTACGCAGTGCAGAGTTAAAAGCTGAAATCGAAGGTTTTATTTTGATGCACAAGACAAATCAAACACAAACAAGGTTTTAAGAAAAAATTAACCTACAATGGAAAAAAATTGTATTTGCTCGAAATATAGATCATTTAATTAAAAAAAATTGGCATGATAGAGTATATTCAAACATCTGCACTGGCAAATATGCAACTAAGGGAGGGAGGGGAACTTTTTCAAAAAAACTGGTATGAAGATCATCCAGACCTGGTTACAAAGAGAGGGACCTGTAAGGATTTTATGGGACTTTATAATACACACAGGAAGAACAATCAAAGCTAATCGCCCAGACATCGTGATCAAAGACCACAAGAACAGAATATGGTTTCTTATTGACATGACAGCCCCGACAAATTGTAATGTCTCTTTGAAGATCTTCTAAAAAAGAAAAAAATATATATAAAAATACGAGGATCTTGATATGGAAATCTCAAAAATGATGCCATGTATGACCATTCAAAACTTACCAAAGAATTCCAGGATACAGACAAAGGAATTCTAACCGCCAGACACCACATCGGTTCTTGATAATGACAGCGAAAATATAAAGCACTTGAATAAAAATAACAAAATACAAATATTTCAATAAATATATGCAATAATTTACAAATTCATGAATTATTCATACAAAAAACAAATACAAAGGTTAATGATTTAATTGGCGAGAAATCCATCGTCGCAAAACAATTCAAATAATATACAAAAAACCCCGAACCTGTTTATGAATGAAAAGATCCTTGTTTTTATAAATTTCTGTTGCATTAGTTCTTATTTTTACTACAATTATTTTTCGTCTGTTCCTACAGACATCTTCAGGTATGGAATAGATGTTGTTCTTGTTTTTTCTCTCAGTAATAAGAGGACAACGAAAATATATGTATTGTTGTATCCAAAAAAATGCTATTAGAAATGAGTTATTGTTTTTGGAGCGTGCAGTAGCAACGCTGAGTTTGATTTTAAATTTTACAATTGTGCGTTTTTGTACAAATATGGTGATAAACGATTTTTTTTTTACTGGTAAATTTTCTGTCAAAGTGGCATGAACTATATTGTTCAATAATTACAGTAATGTAATGTCGCACTTATTATCCAAAAGTCGCACTTGGATCAGTTATTTTAATTTCAATAAGGGTGCAATCAATTTACAAATTCATGAATTATTCATACAAAAAACAAATACAAAGGTTAATGATTTAATTGGCGAGAAATCCATCGTCGCGAACAATTCAAGTAATATACAAAAACCCCGAAACTGTTTATGAATGAAAAGATCCTTGTCTTTATAAATTTCTGTTGCATTAGTTAAATCATTAACCTTTGTATTTGTCTTTTGTATGAATAATTCATAAATATATATATATATATATATATATATATATATATATATATATATATACTACAGTTCAAAAGTTTGAGGTAACCTCTGGTAATTATTTAAATTGGCCTCAAAAGTAGTTGTTTTGTATTTTAAAGAAGAGAAAATTATTATACGTAGTTAAAAGAAAGTGAAACATGAATTTGTATTAGAAATGTTATCATGACAAAAAGAAAAAAGCGTTTTATGATTAATTTTTGCTCTCATCAAAATAACCTCCTTTAGCCTTGATTACTGCAGCACTAATTTTTGGCATTCATTGCAAAAGTGTTGTGAGGGAGAATATTTCTCTATAAGGATGGACTCAGCCGTTCGGACGAAAGACAAAAATACTCCTACATCAAGAGGAGTAGCAGCAGGAGCAGCAGTAACTTTTATGGCTAAACATTCCCTTGACCTTGTACCAAAAGTTAATAAACTTTTGTTAACCCAATTCGAGTTTTCTATTATTGTCTTTGATAAATCAGTTAAAACAAAAAGTTTCTCAAAATATAGGTGTGATAATTAATTCCATTCCAAGTTTCTCCCATTCTAATTCTGGGAGTGTATATTCTTCAGGCCCGACGATTATTTTTAGCATTAAACGGTCTCTGGGTGCTGACTTCAAAGTACACTATTATATTTACATACACGCTGTTCCTGATATTGAGCACTTCAACCCTTAAATATAGCATACATTATAACTATATTTTATACACACATATTTTTTGATTTTTCAAGCTATAAGCTATAGATGTGGCACAAGATTATTTTAGGGGGCACCCAGTGAGGATCGAATTTCACTATTCAGTCGTAATAATGTTTTATTTAGACAAGAAAACTAACTGTTACACCGCCTCGAGGGGCCCATAATGTATAGATATTTTTAATCGTTGATTTAGATTGGAACAAGGCCGAAAGCATGAGCCACATAGTGAGGATCAAACTCACTTTCCAGTCGTAGCTGATCTAGCGAGACAAATTTCTATTTATTAATATATATATATATATATATATATAAAATGTATATAAATATAAAAAAAATATATATATATATAATTATTTATATATTATATGCATTTACTTATTAGAAAGCGCTCAATATCAGAGATAGAGCTAACATATTTGTTCAATTGATGTGAAAAATGACCCAAATTTTCACGCTTTAGTTTGTTGACGATTTTAAAGCGTGAAACTAGGGTCACGTTTTTTATTCAATATAAATATATATATATATATATATATATATATATATATATATATATATAAACTGTTGACGAGCTTTGGCCCATTGCAAGCAATCTCCCCACCAATATAAATATACACACACACAAAAAAAAAAAAAACTTATGGGATTTTGTCAGTGAATTAAGGATTTCGAAAAGTTGGCCTTCCCAAATTATTTTTAATGCACCGTTCGTATATCGGTATATCTATCAATCTATCTCGTATAGACAAAAGAAATATCTACACTATAGCTGTCCGTCTGTTTTCGTTTTCGTTTACCATAACGATTTGTTTATTTCGTTTAATTTTTCTTCTTCTCTCTAAAATTTACCTAAATATTTCCATTAATTCTCTTTAGGAAATTTCTTCCTTTCCTGTCTCTCTCACTTATGCCCCCCCCGCAAAAAATAAAAATAAAGATCTATCACATGGAAATTTCGCTTATAAAGGATTAAATCAGCTGTTTTCGGGGAATGAAACGCCCAACTAGACTCCTCTGGAACTAGACGCAAACCCCACTTTTTTTTCCCGCTCGTTGCAGACACAAAGACAAAAAAAAAGAAAATCGTCATGTGTAAGAGAATTTGTTCAAAAAAAAAAAAAAAAAAAAAAAGCCAGGAAACGGGAGAAGAGAGAGAGAGAGAAATGTGCCTGTTTTCCGAATGGAAAAACACGTACTTAGAAGAGAGAAGCGAAAAAGGAAAGACAGACAGAATACTGCTTCCGCGATTGGTCGTATATATATATATAGATATAATTTTTTTATTTGTTCTTTCTTTCTCGAGGTGTATGTTGCTTTTAATTCTGACACAAATACACACAGAAAAAAAAGATTTATTTTGATGTTTTAAAAAGAGGAGAAGAAAAAAAGAAAAGAAAGAAAAACATATTGCGATCGGTAACTCAACAAAAATGGCATTTAAACCACCAGAAAGAAATTTAAACCTCTTCCTGTGAACAGCGAGTGGATTTCAAATGTAAAATTACCCAGGGATTTATTTTAATGTCACGTAAAAAATAAAGGGAAAGAGATTAATATTTCAAAGGAACTAAAATCCTTTAACAAATAACAGGATTAAACAATACGGAATTTTTACTACCAAATCAAAAGGTAAGATACAAGCTCAAATATATATATATATATTGTTTGGAAGTAAAGTCTGATGATCCAGAGCCCTTTAAAAGGGCTGTGGTGAAATAATTTATTACATGGAACCTTAAAGTCGTCTGTTTTTTATTCAAACATATTTGCTCTGAATTTACATTGAGCTCTCTGGATATTATCCTCCTTGGGTCTACCCAGACGGATTACCTATATAAACTATATATATATATATATATATATATATATATATATATATATATATATAAAAATGTGTGTGTGTGTGTGTGTGTGTGTGTATATGTGTGAAAAGTGTATATAAATATAAATAAATATATATATGTATAATTATATGTTATAATAGCGGTACTTATTTGTCTGACGATTATAAAAAGCGTGAAAATCAGACCACAAAAAAACATCTATCCACTATATATATATATATATATATATATATATATATATATATATATATATTTTTTCCATAAAGTTATTAAAGTCAGGACCAAACTTTAAAAATTTATAATTTTATAATATTTATGATAGAAATAATGGTAAAAAAGGATTAGAAAGAAGTGAATCTATATTTTTTAAGGTTTTATTGAAATTTTATTTAAGTTTTTATGTCCTTCATCATTAGCAATAAAAGGGTGTTACACTTCCAAAAAAAAAAAGAAAATATTTTTTTACTTATCTAAATATTGTAGCAAATCTTGTAAAGAATTATTCAATAACTATACTTAAAACTAGGTACAAGTGCACACGAACTTTATTTCTGTACACAATGTGTGTGTGTGTATATGTATATATATGTAATATATTAGAGAGAGAGAGAGAGAGAATGAAGCATAAATTAAATAATAATAAAAAAAAACGAAAGAATATTAATCTACAACCCAGTGTGTTTGAAGATTTTAATTTTTTTTAATATTTTTTTTGTTCCATATATATATATATATATATATATATATATATATATATATATATATATATATATAAATAATTTTTAGGTAAATATAACAAATTTTTACTGATTACATTTTAAATATTTTAAGAAAATTTTTAAAAGTTTTGTTTTGAAAAGATCGTGTAGCGGCGTTTTTCAACTTTCTATTTTATTTTGGAAACGTTTGATAATGATTGAAAACAAACTTGGTTTATTTTATTCGATTGGAAATTGGACATCAATGAATGTGAAAAAAAAATTTTTTTTTTTCATTGTTTCATAAACAATCGGCCAGAACTGCCGGCTATCAATTTTCTTACCAAAACGAACAATAAATATTGATTTCTATCGATAGGAATTGGATTCTCATTTATTAAAGATGAAGATATATCAGCATTCAGTGTTTCATTTTCTGTTTTTATTTTTTGGTAAAAAATTTTTATTTATTATTTTATATAGGAATCTGCGTAATACATATACGTTTGTGTGTATGGCTGTCTGACAATAAAGATTAAAATGAAAAATTGAAACATATTTATTTTGATAAATTTTTTCTGTTCATTATTTATCTTCATTGGAAATTGGTTTAATTATATATCTAGTATCTATCTATTATCAATTTATTGATTCATATTTAAATCTATTTAAATTTTAAATATATATCTATTACAAAATATCGTCGTTATGTTAAATATTTATCTATTTAATTTCTGCTTATATTAAAATCTATATTATTTATATTATATTTCAAACATTTTTTTTAAATCAGTTTAAATTTATCTATCTATTACATTCATCTATTTTTTCTAGATACAATTCTCAATACATATTAGTACATACACACACACACACACACATATACACATATATATATATATATAGAGATCAAAAGATAAATTATATCATAAAAATATATATATATATATATATATATATATATATATATATATATATATAAAGAAATTT